TCTCAGTGAAGCTTTGCTTATCATGAGACTGGGGAGGCAGGGGTGGTAATCCCGAGCATGGGGTTTTAATCTGCTTTCCTGGCTGAATTCCATTCCGCCTCTCTGTACATTCCAGCAGCTGCCCTGCTCTGCACTGCCTGTGTGGCATCCGCCGGCTGGCGCAGCCCCCCTCGAGTGGCAGCGTTTCAGAGGGGGACAGGGAGGTGACTGTGTCACAGCTCAGCACCCATCTGACAAAGTGCCTTACGTGCTTTAGAGGTGATCTGCTGAAGGAGGAACCAGCCTGTCCCCTCCTTGCTCTTTGCGAGAGCAGAAGAGATTGTTCCCGGTTGCCTTTTCTCAGTTCTCTCTGTGCAGCTCTCACCATGGCTGTCAGGCCCCTTCTCGCCTCCTGCGAGCCTATGAAGCTGCTGTGTTGTGCTCCTGCTGTGCCCCAGTCTAAGCAAGTCAGCTAAACTGTTACTGCTCCAAAAATGAGACCTGGGAGAAGGATTTGAAGTTTCTGTTGCCTACAGCTAGGTGAGACAACAGGCATGGCTCTGAAATCACTCCTCCTGGCTGCCCTGCAGCTCCTTGCTGGGAAGAAGCCAGGCCACCCCGTCATGTGTAATGGGGGGTTACATGTGTCATATGTCCCTGGGGGGACACAGTCCTGCTGTGCCTCAGCATCACCTCTGTAGGTGCATATAACAAGAGATTAAGATGCCCACTCTGCCATGGGCTTTGCTGCCAGATCTGGTGCTGTGGGAAAACAGAGCTGCTCACCTCTGTGCTTGCAGGGCTGGGGGAAACGTGCTGATTCAATGGAAAGCTCCCACTGCCAGCTCTCCCTAAACATTAACTGCTCACCTGATAGCTGCAGAGCCAGGGAGAGCGAAGGCCAGCTGAGCAGTGCTCCTAGAAAAAGCAGAGATCTTGGAGGAGCAAAGCATCAGCCCATGGACAGCCCAGGGGGGAGTCTGGGGCTGGAGTAAGAGGGGGGACCTCATTCTGGTCTGTTTGCCATGTCCCTGGTCCCTGCCAAAGCAGGTGCTGACCTGCTCATGGGAGATCGTGGGGGAGGAAGGAGAACCTGCTGCCAACAGCCCTTCTGCCCTGCGCTCCTGTGCTGGGGCTGGGAGCTGGCAGTATTGGGAAAGCTCTCATCTTACTGCTGGCTGCGCTCATCTGGTGAAGCAAGGAGACTGGGCAGGGAGGCTGAGAGCTGCAGCTGCAGGGATGGGTATGGGATCATAGAATGGTTGGGGTGGAAGGGACCTTAAGAATCATCTAGTTCCAACCCAACCTTGAACACTGCCAGGGATGGGGCAGCCACAGCTTCTCTGGGCGCCTCAGTACCCTCACAGGGAAGAGCTTCTTAGTATCTCATCTCAATCTCCCTTCTGGCAGGTTAAAGCCATTCCCCTTATCCTGTTCCTACATGTCCTTATAAAAAGTTCCTCTCCACATTTCCTGTAGCCCCTTAGGCACCGGGAGCTGCTCTAAGGTCTCCCTTTAAGGAGCCTTTTCTTCTCCAGGCTGAACCAGCCCAGCTCTCTCAGCCGGTCTCCAGAGCAGAGCTGCTCCAGCCCTTGGAGCATCTTTGTGGCCCCCTCTGGACTTGCTTCAACGCTTCCATGTCCCTCTTGTGTTGTTGCCCCCAAAGCTGGATGCAGGACTGCAAGGGGGGTCTCACCAGAGCAGAGCTGGGACAGTTGCTGTACCTCAGCTCTCAATACCCACTGCACTGCTTGCCTGTGAGGTGCTCCCAGACCTGCCCTCCACTTGCTGTGCCTTTAACATTTCACGGGGGAGGAGAGGCTATAGCTGCCTTCCTGCTTGTCATCTCCTCCCCACTGCCATAAACACCCTAAAGCAAACACCTCCACCTCGCCTGGGCTCCCCAGCAACCTACCTACTCCTGCCCGGGCTGGGGCTCACTGCGCCAGGGAGGGCAAAATAGGGAGGCCAGGAGAAGAGTGTGGTGAGGCAGTGGTGGTCAGCCAGAGCAGGAGCCAAAGGCCTCCCCAGGCAGTGCTGTTGGCAGGTCTGGGCTTCCCCAGGAGCATGGGTAAGCCCATAGCTCAGCTGGAGCACTTGGCTTATGCTGGATACCACGGGACAGTCCCGGACTGAGCTCCATGAGCAGGGGAGCAAAGGGAGGGTTCTTTTGGAGCTGCTGGCTCAGGAGAGCAGTGGGGCAGCCCCGGGGGTTCCCTCTCCATGCTGGGGCTATGCTGGGCAGGGAAGTGCTGCGAGTGCCTATGGTAAGCACAGCCCTGCCCGAGCGGGAGGTAGATGCCTCGCAGGGCAGGGATTTCAGCGCAGACCCAGCCTTCCCCTGCAGCTCGCGGGGTGCCTTTGCAAGCTCTGGGCTGGCGTTGCCAGGCAGGCTGGGGCTTGCTGCCGCAGCTCGCCCTTGGGTTATGGAGTGGGGGGCAATTTACATCGCATCTAAATTGCTATGCAGGCAGCTTGCATCCTAATCCCTGTGCCTGCTGCCGCGGTGGCCTCCTCCCACCGCACGGTGCCTTCTCCATGCACCCTCCAGCGGGATCCCACCAAGGCTGAGGCAGGCAGAGGGCTTCTCCTGCCACTCACTCAGGGATGGAGCCTGCTGCCTTTCCCCAGCCCGGGGGCCAGGCGTGGGGGAGCTGCAGGTAGAGCCCGTCTCCACATAGTTAACATTCCCAGCCTCCCGCTCCTCCTGCTGCCATCCTGCTCGCTCCCGCTGCCCTGGGCAGGTCCGGGGAACGCTGTGCGTTTTGGGGAGCACTGCTCTTTTGGGCTATCGGGGTGCAGGTCTTTCCTTTTCAAACCTTACACTGGCATCTGCACCGTGTCCAGGTGAGGAGATGATAGTGTTTGGGGGGTGGCTGATCTCTGAGCAGCAAGGGCTGCACCCCAGCCCTGCCATACGTGCAGCCCCTCTCTGTTTTGAATAGGATCACAGGTCGGAAAAGACCTTTAAGATCATCAAGTCCAACCTTTCCCCTGGGACTTACCCACTAAACCTGCCAGCCAAGGGCTCCACTGCCTTCCATATCTCCCTCCTGGGTGTTTCTCGATGTGGACAAAGCCTCCTGCCCTGGGAAAGAAGGTTGCAGGTGCTGGGTAGGGGTAAATACTCCCGGTGCTTCTCTTATCTCAGCAAAGGGAGGGGTATTTGAGTCCTGGGAGCGGGAAGGGGGCTCGGAGGGAGGGAGGATTCCTCCCCGATTTACTTGGGGCAACTCCGTGCCCCTGGCGCTGGGGGCTCTTGAGTAGAAAGCGAATTTAATCTCTTGTTTTGTTTGTTCTTTCCTCCTCCCAAAGGGGGGCCGGTGCGGGGGGAGCTTGGGTTTGAGAGCGGGGAGGAAAGGGGGGGAAGTGTCAGATCCGAAAGGGAGGAGTAACGGGAGGACGGGAACGGCAGCCCCGGAGGGAGCGGGAGCAGCAGCGGTAGGAGGAGGAGAAGGGGAAAGGGAAAGGCAGGTAAGGAAATCGCCTCGTGGGTGGTAGGTGAGGAGGGGGAGAAGGCAGGGCAGGAGGGGTGAGGGTGCTGAGGGGGTGTATGGAGTCCTTGGGTGCTGAGGGGAGGACGGGAGGGTCTTTGGTAACTGGCCTGCTGCTGGTCCCCCTAAACTCCTACCCGGTAGCATGCTCACATGCAGGATTGAGGATGGAGCGCTGCTCTTTTGGTGGGGTCCCAGGGGAGCAGGAGGGGTGCTGCTGTTTGCCACCACCTTCTCCTTCTCCATGCTGAAGTCCCTTTCCCATCCCTTGGCTTCCCATTCTGCTCTGTGCTGGCTGAACCTCCCTCATCCCGCCTCTCCCCAGCTCCTCACGCTGTGAGCTCCACAAAGAGTTTGGGGGATGCCCGGGAGCGGTGCGGAGCAGCCTGCGGGATGGAGCCGGGCTGGCAGCAGTGGGCAGAGACCTTGCTCATGGGGGGAAGCGTGCCTGGGCCTGGTGTGCTCCATGCGTCAGCTCCCTCTTCCCCGCCATGCCTGTGCTCTGTGGAGCGGAAAAGTGGGGAAGTGTTGGGCCCCATTGCAGGGAGCAGTGGTGCTGGAAGGATCACTTTTCCATAGGGAAAAGGGGTGCAGCCCTCCAGTGCTGTGTCTGGTGCCACGGGTGCATCCCCCAGTGTTTGAGGGTGACCATGCTCCTCTAACTGGCCTTGCAGGGCCTGTTGCTGCGTATCCTGTGCTCCTGGAGCACTTCCCATCAGGCGATCCCTATGGGGACGAGTGGTTGCACCCTGGCCCCGGGGGCTGCTCAGGGTTGTCTCCTCCCTGTCCCAGCCCCCAAGCGCGGTGGCCCCAGGGGCATCTGCACATCAATGGGCTCCAGTGGGTATGTGCAGGGGGGAGCAGACCCTAATCCGGCCCATTCATCCCGGAGGCAGCTTTTGTTGAGCCTCCAGATGTTGTGCGGAGGGCAGGGGCTGTGCGAGCGAGGTTGGTGTTGCCCTGCTTTGGGGGGGGGGGTCGTTGTCTCCCAGGGGAGGGCTCCCTATGGATGGGCTGTTCCGCGGCTGAGGCACGTTTCACTGGAGCGTGTGGGGTTTTTCCACCACACTTTGGCAGGGCAGGTGGCTGTGAATGGAGGAGGAGGAGGTGTTGGGCCTGGGGCAGAGCTGGGCTCGGGAGTTCCCCCTGGAAGGAGCCAGGATCCACCCCGGGACCGGCCACCCAGTATGAGGGGGACCCTTCAGCACAGCCTCCCTGCTCCCCTGGGAGCCCTTCACCCTTTCCCCTTTGCAGGCAGCAAGGAGCAGAGCTGAATGAAATCACTTAGAGGACTCCGAGTGTTTGAGGTCCCCCCTAGGGCTCTATAGCCGTGGCAAGGTGGTGTGGAAGCCCGGGTGGTCCAGATGCCCCAGCACAATGCAGGAGGGTGCTAGCCAGGAGAACCTGTTGCTGGAGAGGTGAAAGGCATCTCTCAGCACCGGAGATGGGGAATGTGCTGCTGGGAGATATGGAGGCACCTTTGGGGCTGCTGGTGACCCCACTCTCTGCTCCCCTTGTCCCTCGCAGGCTCTAGGATGCTGGGGCCAGCCGGGCTGGCGCTGCCCACCTGATCCTCGCTGCTGTGTCCCACCGGCGCACCATGTTTCGCTCCTGGCGCATGAAGCTGAAGGTGCTGCTCGCCACGGTGACCCTGGCCATCCTCCTCTGCTGGCTCTACCTCTTCATGGGCAGCCTCGAATGTGAGTGGGACCAGCTCTCCTTCCTCAGAGCAAGGGACAGTCCGTGACAGAGGGTAGCGGGGGCCTTGGAGCAGTTGCTGTGTGGCTGTGCAAGTTGCTGTGGGTGTATCTGAGCTCTGCATTCCCATGGCATCCCTGGGGATCAGAGCTGCGCACGTGTGGGGTGTGTGGGGACCTCTCCACTGGGGCTCACGTTATCCCTCCCTGCCGAGCTCTGTGCCCATCACATGCCCCGTGTCCCCTCCGCAGACGGCCGGTTCCTGCTGCTGCCGCCCTGCCTGAGCGAGCAGCCGGGCCGGGACGTGGAACGGGAGGCGCTGGCATCACGGGTGCGCCGGGTGGAGGAGGAGAACCAGCAGCTCCGCCTGCAGCTCAGCCAGGCCCAGGCGGAGGGCAGCGATGGCAGCCCGCAGTGGGGGGCCTCCGCCGAGGATGGGGACACCCCCGGGGCTGACAGGAGCAACCGCACGGCCTGCCCCAAGCAGCGGACGGTGCACAAGTGTGAGGTGGGTGATGGCACCAGCGGTGCATAGGGGATGTCGGGTGGGAGGCTGGGACCTTGGCTGACTGTGGATGTGAACCCACTTGGCACTGCTCACACTGTGCTCTGGCCATGCTGGGGGCTCATCCGGCCCTCCATGGTGCTCAGTAGGCCACAGTCGGTGGGCGAGGGTGTCTTGCTTTTCCGGGGGGGGAGGCTGGGCAGACAGATCCTTAGTCCCCTCTTCTGAGCCAAAGGATTCCCACCTCTGTCTGGAGCTCCTTCCCCAGGGTGAGGGTTGGGTTATGGAGTCTCTCCCCATAGGGAATTGCTGACGGGGCCCCTGCAAGGTGGGAAGTATCCAGGCTCAAAAAGGCACCGTTTGTCTCTGGGCAGCTCCTGCACATCGCGATCGTGTGCGCCGGGCACAATGCGAGCCGGGATGTGGTCACCCTGGTGAAATCTGTGCTCTTCCACAGGTAATGGGAAGTGCTGTGCCAAAGGTCTGGCTTGGGGTTCCCAGATGAGCTGCTGCAGGGGGGCAGTGCTGCAGGAGAGGGGCTCTTCCCCCTGTGCCACTGCTTAGAGAACCAGAGGGGGATTTCTTTCCCCATCTGCCCCCTCAGCTGATGTCTCCCCTGGCAGTGGTGGGAGGGATGGGGCCCATGGGGACCGTGGCTGGTGCTGAGCGCTGCTGCGCTTTGCCCTCGGCAGGAAAAACCCTCTCCACTTTCACTTCATCACGGACTCGGTGGCTCATCGGATCCTCCAGACGCTCTTCCAGTCCTGGATGGTGCCCTCTGTCCATGTCAGCTTCTACAACGCCGATGACTTGAAGGCAGGCTCTCTTTCCCCCTTTGCCCTGTCCCAGCCTAGTGCTCAGAGGGCCGAGGGGAGCAGGAGGGGGGGTTATTAACTCTTCCTGCTGGTCCCTTGCTTATCTGCTCCCCTTTCTGGGCTTGTTGCTGGTCCAGCTGAGAAGGGGGTACAGAGCTGATGCTGGAGGGGTGGCTCTGTGGTGGAGCTGGGTTCCCCACTGAGCGTTAGAACACTGGGGTTCAGATGGGAGTTCTGGTGTCTCGAGGAAGGGCCAAGCAAGGGTGAGAGCAAAGGAAAAGGGGACGGAGTCTGCAGGCACCTGGAGGCTGCCAGTGGTGCCCCTGGAGATGCTCCAGGCTGGGCTGGCAACACAGGTTCCTTGTGCCCCTCTGCTGGTCACTGCACGGGGTGCTGGGCACACACAGCCATCCTGCCCGGGCAGGGGAAGGGCATGAACATACCCAGCCCTGAGGCCGTGTCACCTTGCAGCCGGAGGTGTCCTGGATCCCCAACAAGCACTACTCCGGCATCTACGGGCTGATGAAGCTGACGCTTACCAAGGCACTGCCCTCCAACCTCTCCAAGGTCATCGTCTTGGACACCGACATCACCTTCGCCACTGACATTGCTGAGCTCTGGGCTGTCTTCGGGAAGTTTTCTGGTGAGGACAGGGCCCTGGGTGCTGGCCCCCCATCTGCCACAGCACCGGCGCAGTGGGTTTGCCTGGGCCCTCCGAACCTACAGCAAGACAGCATCACGTCCCTCTGTTTCCTCAGACAAGCAGGTCATTGGGCTGGTGGAGAACCAAAGCGACTGGTACTTGGGCAACCTGTGGAAAAACCACAAACCGTGGCCAGCCCTGGGCCGTGGCTTCAACACGGGTGAGTGTGGCTGCCGGGGTGGGGTGGTCGCATCCAGCTGAGGCAGCGCTTGGCACGTGGAGGATGGAAAGGCTGAAGTGAGGCAGGAGAGTGCTGGACATGCCCCAGGGGCTGAGGGCATGCGGGCTGCTGTGCCGGGTGCTCCTCGGTGACCCAGCACCCTCCTCCCTGGCACCCAGGGGTGATCCTGCTCCTGCTCGACCGCCTGCGTCGCCTGGGCTGGGAGCAGATGTGGCGGCTGACGGCGGAGCGGGAGCTCATGAGCATGCTCTCCACATCACTGGCTGACCAGGTAACGGTCCTTCCTCTGGGGTGGTTGGCCCCACTGCGTTCCCACTGCTGGCACGGGGGGGGGGAGCCGTGCTGCCTTCCTCACCCCCCTGTGCCATTCTCCCTCCTAGGACATCTTTAACGCGGTGATCAAGCAGGACCCGTCCCTGGTGTACCGGCTGCCCTGCTTCTGGAACGTGCAGCTCTCTGATCACACCCGCTCGGAGCAGTGCTACACCGAGCTCTCGGATCTCAAGGTTTGTGGGTTTCCTGGCGAGGGTCTGAAGGACAGCGCAGGCACTGGGATGGGGTCTTGGGGCGCGCTGGGTGCTGCTCACTCCCCCTCCCTGTGCTGACACCGCTGCCCTCAGGTGATCCACTGGAACTCGCCCAAGAAGCTGCGGGTGAAGAACAAGCACGTGGAGTTCTTCCGCAACCTCTACCTGACCTTCCTGGAGTACGACGGGAACCTGCTGCGCAGGGAGCTCTTCGGCTGCGCCAGCCTGCCCAGCGCACCCAGCCACCAGGTGAGGCGGTGGCAGCTCTGCCCCCCCAGCCCCACTGCATGGGGTGGGCACAGACCCCACGCAGCCGCCCTAGCTCTCCGTGGGGCTGCGGATCCCCCTCACCTTCATGGCGTTGCAGCTGCAGCAGGCGCTGGAGGAGCTGGATGAGGATGATCCCTGCTATGATTTCCGGCAGCAGTACCTCACGCAGCACCGCGTCCACCTCTTCTTCCTGCAGTACGATTTCCTGGCCCTTCTCAACCCCACCGATGTCACCCTCGTGGCACAGCTCTCCATGGACAGGTACTTGCTGGTGGGACCTCAGGTCCTGCCTCCGCTTCTCTGGGGAGGTTCGACACGTTGGGAGCTACCAAGGGTCTCCAAACATAGGTTCCGCACCCTCAACACCCTGAGCTGGGAGCAGCAACGCCTCCCGCTCTCCCCTGCACTGTCTGGCATGGGTCTCACTGGCAGACACCCAGTCTGCCCCAGGAGACACAGGGCAGTGCCCTCTGCTTCGCAGGTTACAGATGCTGGAGGCCATCTGCAAGCACTGGGCCGGCCCCATCAGCCTGGCGCTGTACATGTCGGACGCGGAGGCTCAGCAGTTCCTGCGCTATGCCCAGGCCTCGGAGGTGCTGAGCGCCCGCCGCAACGTTGCCTACCACATCGTGTACAAGGAGGGGCAGTTCTACCCCATCAACCTCCTGCGCAACGTGGCCTTGGCCAACGCGCAGACGCCGTACGTCTTCCTCACCGACATCGACTTCCTGCCTATGTATGGCCTCTATGAATACCTCAGGTAAGGCTTTTTCTGGATGGCTCTCGTGTGGGCTCCCCAAGCACCAGGAATTGCCCTGAGCAGCAGTTCTCAGCATGCAGAAACTGTTTCCTTTGTGTTCAGCCTTGGGATCCTGCCCATGCTTTCATGAGACATCAGTGGATGAAGGAGCTGTAGCTGTGAGGGCTGCCCTGTTCCTCCTGCCAAACGCTACAGAGTGTTCAAACCCATTAATGCTCTCCTAGAGCAGTGGGCAGGCTAGAGGGGCTGCAGAAAGGGGTTTGTGACCATGACTCACAGCCAGGGAGACCTCACACCCTTCCTATTGCCATCGTAGGAACTCCATCCAGCAGCTGGAGCTGCCCCAGAGGAAGGCAGCTCTCATCGTGCCGGCGTTTGAGACCCTGCACTACCGCTTAACCTTCCCCAAATCCAAAGCAGAGCTGCTTTCCATGCTGGACATGGGCTCCCTCTACACCTTCAGGTAGGGACCGGAGCTGTTCTGCTGTCCTTCGGGGCTGTCACACGCAGTAGAAGGCACTTTTGTACCCTTATGCCTGTGGGGCAGCTGGCTCAGAGGCTCCTCTGCCTGTCCCTCATTCCCGTCTCCCCCCCACAGGTACCACGTGTGGCCAAAAGGCCATGCCCCAACGGACTATGCCAAGTGGCGGACGGCCACGGTGCCGTACCGCGTGGCGTGGCAGCCGGACTTCGAGCCTTACGTTGTAGTGAGGCGAGACTGCCCCAAGTACGACCAGAGGTTCGTGGGCTTCGGCTGGAACAAGGTGTCGCACATCATGGAGCTGGATGCGCAGGTGGGGGACGCTGGGTGTTGCGGGGGGCAGAGACGTGTTGGTGCCACCAACCCGATGCTGACCCCGTGCTCTGCCCCCAGGAGTATGAGCTGCTGGTGCTGCCCAACGCCTTCATGATCCACATGCCCCACGCCCCCAGCTTCGACATCTCCAAGTTCCGCCTGAGCGCAGGGTACCGGAGCTGCCTCCAGACCCTGCGGGAGGAGTTCCACCAGGACCTGTCACGGCGCTATGGGGCTGCCGCGCTCAAATACCTCACTGCTGAGCGGAGCCTGTGATGCCTGGGGATGGGGGGCATGGGGTGACAGCAGCATGCTGGAGATGAGAAGGTGCCAGGATTCCCTCTGCCCCTGCTCACCGCGGGAACCAAGCCGCTGCACAGCCTCTTCAGCCCAGCAAAGGGGTGCCTGCAGATGAGATGGAAGATGCCAGCTGTGGGAGCAGGCAGTGCCTGCAGGTCACGCTGCTGCAGTGTATCCAAGGGTTTTGGAGCAGCAGAAGGAACCTCCCCATGCCAGGGACCAGGGGAGCAATGGGTGTCCTCCCTCCGCTGTTGTAGCAGATGTGGATTCCCAGCCTTCCTTAGCTCACCTCACCTTGGGGCCTGGGAGCTTTACCTTACCCTGCGCTGCCTCTGGTCTGTGGTTCCAGGTCCCAATCCCCTTCCAGGTCTCCCACCCCTCCAGGGCTTTGATAAGGGGGAGACAAGGTTGTAGAGCATCATTTTGCATCCTTTGTGGAGCAGGCTCAGAGGTGAGGCACTGGCACAGGGTGCCCAGAGAAGCTGTGGCTGCCCCATCCCTGGCAGTGCTCAAGGCCAGGTTGGACGGGGCTTGGAGCAACCTGCTCTAGTGGAAGGTGTCCCTGCCCGTGGCAGGGGTTGGAACTGGGTGAGCTTTAAGGTCCCTTCAACCCAAACTATTGTAGGATTGTGAAGCCTCCCAGATCCCTGGGAGGTGGGGCCAGGGAGAACCAGGAATTGTGGTGACTGGGTTCACGCCTGGATCGAGGCTGGCTGGTTAACAGGGCTAAGTAGTGTTATTCCCATCTGAATGGATGCAGACAGTGGGGCTGGCCCAGCACTGATGGTGTGGGAGTCACACAGGGCAGGATGAGCTCTCCGCTGTCCCAGCAGTGGCTGCCAGTGCCCCGCGGGGCAGGGCTGTGAGCCAGCCTCATGGGCCAGCTCACATTGGAGACATCCCCGGCAGGGCCTCCCCTGCTCCTCCCCAGCTCTGGGCAGTGCAGACGATGCCGTCGACAATCAGGGATGTGGCTGACACTGGACACGACCGTGGCGGATCCCCGTGCCGGGGGCACTGCTCACCTCTGTCACACACTGGAGCACAGAGGATGCGTCGCTTTCCTCACGCTATTTAAATTATTCAGTACTTTCCTCCTCAGAATGAACTGATTCGGGGTGCCCGGGGGGGGTTTAATCCTTTCTTCCTCCTGGATGATTCTGCCGGTGGCCCTGGAGGCTCTCCAGGCCCGTTGCTGCTGCAGTCTCTGCTCTTCTCTCCTTAGCGTTGCTCTGGGCTGCAGGAGCCAGCTCTGTGCAGGGGTGAGGATTTCCGTCCGCAGCGGGAGCCGTACCCAGGCTGTGGGAAGGGCACAAGCGCCTCTTGCTGAGTCTCTCTTTTTAATTTAATTTTTAAATTAAAGCTTTTTTATTCTTTTTCACATCCCTGTTGGAGCCGCCTGGTTATTCCGTCCTAATGCTGGGAGCCTGCGTGAGTGCCCCAGAGGGAAGGCAGCAGGAGGAGAGCAATGCAGCTGAGGCAGAGCATCCCTGGGCTCACTCTGCCTGGTGTGTTTGAAGCCTTTTCCCTTTCTGGCTGGCACCTCATGGCTGAAGCAGGTGTCACTTTAATCACACCCAAGTACAACAGATGTGGGTCCCTCCTGTGGTGCTGTGGCTCATCCCCAATACCACTGTGCCGAGCAGGACCTTCCGCTTGCCCACCAATGGGGACCGGCACCCAGCTCCATCTACAGTGCAGGCAGCAGGACCAAGCCAGGGCTCACACACTGCAAGACTTGGGAAGCAAAATTGGCTCTCACACGAGCCGCCAGCCTCACATCTGCAGGGAGGAGGAGAAGGGTGGTGTGCCAGGAACAAGTTGTTGAGGCTTTATTTGGGAGACATTGCTCACCAGTGAGGCCGGGTGCAGCTCCACCCGAGCAGCCCATAGCAGACAGCTTTTGTTGAGCACAGCCAACGCTCACCAGAATGGCTTTGCTTCTGCACTGAGCACCCAGGCAGGTTTAGATCAGCTCTAGATGGTACCTGAGCCTGCTCACTGCTGGAGACACAGCGCTGGGATGGAGCTGGTGTTTCTTCGGTGGTTGGTGGGTACAGAACCGCTGTCTCTGTGGGTGCTCTGGAAGGGGCACTGCTGTGCCTGCAGCAGCAGGGCTGGGTGCCATCGTTTTCACCTAATCCTTGCCAGCCTGCGCCGTCCTGAGCCCAAAACAAGGATTCAGGTACCCGGAGCAGACCCCACTCAGTGTCGGTCTCCATGTGCCCTCTGCCGGGCGGCATCAGCGGGAGACAACCACTGGGTCAGGTTTTCTTTACCCACTGATGTTCTTAACCCAGCACAGCCCCTGCTCGAGCTGAATTCATTTCTACTAACGCAGCACCCTTCTTCTTGCGCAGAGAGCAAGGCTGGAGCCAGAGGTGCCGCAGCCATTGCACAGAGCCACGCTCTGCAATGTCCCACGGGCACCACCGCCTGTGCCCCTGACCCTGCTGTCCCCGCCTGGTACATAGAGCTGAGGAGACGAGAGGTTTGATTGTGATTTATTTAGTAAAATGTGAAAATAAATAAATACAAATTGATCAGATGCTCTGTCCCCCATCCCCCCCAATTTAGTTTACTAAAATCTAAACACATCTGTACCAAACCTGAAACCACAAGGGACCCGAAGGCAGCAAAGAGACTGCGGAGCACTGTGAGCATCAGGCTATTAACAATAGAGATAGAACCCCCAAACCAGCTCACGAGTGTGCTCATGGTGTGAGTCTGTGACAGCACAGCAGCACCAGCCAGACAGGGTATTTTACACCATGGCTCTTGGAGCACCAGGCCTGGGGCTGGGGGCTCCTCAACTAAAGCACCCAGAGGAGTCGGGCAGGCTGGGGAGGGACCAGGGCTCAGACATGGTGCTCTCCAGCACCAGCTCCTGGTCCCATTCCAAGCCGGGATTCCCACTTTACAGCTCCGGTTTGGGGTGTGTGGGGACAGGATGAAGTGCATGGGGCGTGATGGTATCAATGAGGCTACTGAGATGCAGTGATTTAGGCCTGAGTGTTCTCTCTAAACAAGCAGAGCTGGTGTCACAACCCTCAGCTGAGGACACAGTGGGTGGTTGTAGGTTAGAGCCAGTCAGCCCCCAAAACACAACACACTGCATGGGGAGCTGCACCAGACTTGCCAGGCAAGCAGAGCTCAGCGCCACGTCTCTGCACCACAGGTTCCACCGCTGTTGATGCAGTGGAAGAAGCAGCAATTGGCACAAGCAGTGTTCCCCCAGCTCTCCATTACCTTGCTTTATCTAATGGAGTTCACAACCTGTGCTTTGCTTCTGAGGGACTGTGAGAGGTGGCCAGAACACCTCTGCCAGTGCTGGAGGGTGCCTGGGGGGCCCTGCAGCTATAACTGGTGCGAAGCAGCTCCTGGGACATGGCTCCTGTTGGCTCCGGTTGTGTGGGGCTGCAGGAGCTTACGTGGCATTAACCCTTCCTTAAGGAGAGCCTTGGCTGGCTGGCACACACGGCATCAGGGGTGACTCGGGGACAACGCACCTGCTGTACGGGAGCTGGGTAAGGCCCTGCTCCTGCCCCTAGAGTCGATCGCTGTTTTGATGCCAGTGATGAGGAAACACCTGAAACTGTGGTTTGATGTTACTCATCAGCCCAGGGCAAGCAGGAACACGCAGCCTCCTGCGGCACCCAACACGGGAGCACGCCTGTGCCTCTGCTTTGTGTCTGCTCCCACTGCCTGCAGCCCATGAGCAGCTCCTGCAGCGTCACGACTGCCAGTACCTGCTCCATGGAGGGGAATGGAGGCACGGAGGGGTTTCTTTGTTCAATAAGCACCTTCCCCCTCAGCTTTGGCATGTCCCACCTCATCCAAGGAGCAAGGGGAGCCCCTGCCCTTGCTTGTTCCATGCACAGCGACCTCCTCAGTGCTGGAGATCCCAAATCCAGGCTGGCCACTGAACACAGCCCTGTGCCAGTGCGGGACCTTCCGAAGCCACAGCCTCAGGCACCTCAAGGCCATTCTGGTTGCTCACTAAGAAAAGGGCTTTCCCAAAGCACAATCTCAGTTTCTTTTCCAGCACCAAGGCTAGAAGGCAGCAGGCGACCAAAGGGGCAGGGATGGGTCAAAGTCTGCATTTGCCAGTGTGAATTTAGGGAAAAAGGATGCAAATTCCTCAGTGAAAACTGGGCAGCAGCAGCAGATCAATACAGCGCCGTGCTCACTGCTGCTGCTGCCTTTCCGTACCACCTCTCCACCCAGATAGTGCGAGCCAAGCTTACAAGACCTTTGAGTGCTCCAGGCGCTCCTAATAGTAAACATGCCCCGAAGCACTTCTTCCTTCCTAGAGCAGGAACTGGGCTGTTTGAAGCCCTTGACATCTCTTGGATAGCACAGGGTGAAGAAGAACAGGCACTGAGCTTACTCACTGGTTACACAGGAGAGCTGGCACAGCCGCTCTGCCAGGACGGTGCCCATGGGCTGCAGGCCCTCAGCTCCTCAAGGGTTACGTTGAACTTACCCAGGTCTGGGTGCACTGTGAGGTGCCCCTCTGCCCCTAAAGAAACCAGACCCTAAGGAAACAGGGAGGCATCACTGCACGGAGCGGGTTTGGCACAGACCTGTTGGATGTGACGAGCAGGAGGGCAGGAATCCCCACGTACAGATCCTCCATGGGATGGCTGAGGAGTGCCTGCATCACGAGTCCTGCCCAGCATCACCTGCATCACTCACCCGGACCCAGGCCCTCTGGAGCTGGCACTGGTTTCAACCAGGCTGGTGATGATGGCACTTGAACCAGGGAGGTGCAGCCACGCTGGCAGAGCGGAACCTTCAGCAAGTCTTGGGAATAATTCCAGCCAAGACCCTTGTTACTTAATGTGCTCCTGACTGGAGCAGGCTCTGGCTGCTCCCAGGTCTGCTCGATCTGCCTTATCCCATGCTGTGGTACAGAAAAGCACTGTCAGGATGGGATGATGGCAGCAGAGCAAGGGATGACTTGGTGCCCACTCCTTCACTGAGCAGCTCTTTTCTCCCACCACACTTGGTGCTTGAGGAATACAGACCAACCCTGGTCAGAAACCCAGGCAGGACAGAGACCCTTTTAGTTCTGGTCTTCCCACTGCATTTCCAAGCCCTGTAACTGCAGCAATACGTGTCTCCTCACAATGGAGCCCTGTTTCACTCCCGGATTTTTCCTACCCTCACTTTCCCTCCTTCTCATCTCTTCCCGTTTCTTCCCTCTGCTCTGCTTTACCCCATATAACCTTCATGTCCTTTGATCCTCCTGCTTCCTTTCCTCCATCTCCAGCCCTATTCCCCTTCTCACTGCTCTTGCTTTTCAGGCTCCCTCCCTTTATCACTGCAGCACCCACCTCTGGCCTGGGGAGAGAAGAAGCCCTGTCCTGGCTGCTCTCATCGATACCCCAGGGCCTGGCACAGCACCGATGCTCTCAATGAGCCTATTTACCACTCCCTCCTCAGTAGGTCAGTAATACTGACAGGGGATACACAGACCCTCACACAGGTAAGGTCTTGGTTTTCTGAGACAAGCCCACATCTCAAATGA